GCAGCGTTCCTCCTTTATTCCCAATCGAACATGGTTGAAGAAGCGGTCACGTGGTGCTGGGTGCCCAAATCACCTGGTCACCACGCCAGCAGGTGACAACTTTCACACCAAGGTTCAACTCGAGTTCAACTCGAGTGACAGGACTGCACCCAAAAAAGGTCAAACAGGCTAGTAAGTTGTACCCTGCAGGCACGGTGACCAGGTGCAAGCTAGGTGACTGGTGTACGCAGGAGCACGTGACCGCTTCTTCAACCATGTTCGATTGGGAATAAAGGAGGAACGCCGCATCGCAGCCTTTTCGGACCAAAACCAGTCGACTCAGCGTCCAAAAAACTACAACATATGGGCCAATCGCGGTCATCCATGCTTTTATAAGAACGAAATGGCGCTTTTAGTGACATTTTGCATACAAATCCCCATCTAGTAGGGCGCAGTCACCCAGTTTCGGTGGAAGTGCGCAAGTTCGATTGGGATTCAAGTGGGAAGGGAGCGTCTCAGCTTCCTCGGACCACGACCATTCGACTCAGCACCTCGAAGACTACAACTGGTGAAATTTTAATTTTTGCCTTAACTTCCCCTTTAAGCCTTGGGTTTTGCATCTTTCTGTTCTGTACAGCTCTATCTTCTTCTTTATTTCTTTGTTTTTGGTGCGTGTTTTTGGCCGTGACGCCGAGACCTCAGGTCGGCAGAGTCATCAATGCCCCACCATCACTGCTGCGTCTCGGTACCGCGCCTGCTCATTAGTTGTCACGTTTGTCCTAGTGTCCGTACCATTATCTTTCCTTATTCTTTTCGAGCTGGTTATGTGAACATAGTAAAAAATAAATTAATATAAAAAAATAATTTGATAACCGCAATCAGTAATACAAGCTGGATCGACATTTGTGTACACTTTATTCATGTAATGTAAAACTGTGGAGACAATGTGCAATAAAACGAAATGTGAAGAAATGGTGTAGAGAAAAATGAGGATTCAAACAAGTTTTCGTACAACACTCATCAGGAACCTTCGTTGTACTAAAGGACAATGAAAACAAAATTGAACTATTATAGAAAATCTAAGTGTTAGAGAAATACCACTAAGAACAACAGCAGTGAAATTTACAAGTGTGAATTTCATCAATGAAAGCGAGAGCAATAACGAATGCGTGTACTAACACTAAACTGAAAACTGAACAAAGAAGAGAAAGGGACAAAGTGATAACAAATAACAGCAGTACATTACACCTAGAAAATTAACGGCCAAGCTTGGCCGCACCAAACATGACACTTTACTTGAACAATTTCAACCCAATTATACTATCCTTCTGTACACACAAATTAGGCTTATACAGACGCTGACAGATGGCTTCCAAAACTTTTAACTGTAGTCCATAACCATGACGACCACGGCACAATACAGTGAAAGAAGAGTCGGAATACGAATTGCAACAATCAGGACTAGCCAACAAATGATTGTACACTGAAGACTTGCTACCACTAAACCTACGCACAACACTAACATTCTCACCGGCACTCTCACGATCACTACAATCGTCGCTCTCCGACTCATTGCTCCCTTCACCGTCCGTCCCATCATCCGCTTCCTCTCCGCTCTCTCTGTTATCCCGCCTGACTTGGTCCATTGAACGGGACTCGGCCGTCACCCTGCTGTCACGTCCCTCCTTGCGCCCTTGTCCGTTGAGTGTGTAGCTTCTGTTGTAGTTGGCTGTTGATCGTCGTGGTCTTTCAATAGGCGGAAAAAATAATAAAAAATTGGCTGCGTTCTTATAGCATGTTCTTAGAAACAGTGCGTACTGGATTATGTATCCTACAAGCTGCCAGAAAACCAACGCCGCCGTTCTTAGCTTTATATTAGGCTGTAGCGTTCTTAGTATTTCAGGCTGGACGTTCTTCGGCTCAACGTTCTTCGGCGCACGACTCTACTGTAGTTCAGATGACAAGTCCATGTTGGATCCTAGCCTAGACACCATAATGCAAAAAAGGAAAGGGTCAACTTCTGCTTGGAAGTACACCCATATCTCACTTATAAAGTCTGGCACAGGGCATGGGCACTGTCCATCACGTCACACCTTGGAAATGTCCGTGACTTTCAAGCATATACAATCATTTTGATGGGCAAGGGCCAGAGATGTGCGATATCACATCACTTCAATGATTATCAACAAAAACGAGTAATATTTCCACTAGAACTCGCCTATAGGCCCACACTACAGGGTGCCCCTACTGCCCTAGTCTAGACCGAGGTGCGCGTACTGTAAACCGTGATATTATTGCGATGGTCTAATTTCTGCGAAATTCGCGACCGCGTGGAAATCGCGAAATTTAGACAGCACGAAAAGGAAATCTATGAAAGGTTTTGCAAGAATGCCACAGGTTTAGCAAGAATGCCATTCTGCAATCGCAAAATTAAAATCTCGCAAACCTGTCCGGATTCTGAAAACGCGAACTAAAAACGCCGTGAACTTTACAGTAACTAGTACTTCGGGGTCTTGATGAGAGGTGGGAGTGTAGATGACACTTTCCCACACTCAGTGCTGCAACAAGTTACATACATTCAAGTGGGAACGACCGACCTTTTGCGAGGAGAACACGAATATGACCATCTTGACACAGGATATTAGTGTTCCGGGAAAATTGAACCACTCATATAGCCTCATACTCATTAATCATTATGCACTTACCCAAGGTATCCTTCGCCGTGATATCTATTTCCTGGCATAGCGGGTTGTCCCGAAACATTGTGTATTGAGCAGGGAGTGGTGCTTTCTTGCAAGTTTGCCGAGTGGATCCGATGGCTCGGCATTCTTCTCGTATGCTCCAGCCGACAGTCGTAAATCAGTCAAGTGTCAGTCAGTCGGCCACCGTCTTCTGCTGGTTCGCTGTCATACAAACGGAGCGGAGCGGACTACGGTATCCCTCCGACATGCAGCACGGTCGCTGGTACAGACGGAGACCGTCCTGTGATGGCAGTCGAATGGTAGATTCACTTGGGATGCGGCAACTGCGTGTACATGTACTTGACATGGTTCCAGAGACTTGAGTCGCCAGGTCGTGATAATTCCGGCGTTGCTCTGCTCCGCACGCGGCCGCCATCTTCAACTCTTGCGCCTGTTGACAAAACTCGACGAACTGGTCTTTAGAATTCCACGGTCACACATCGAAGTTGGGAAGTGGACAGTTGCTTGCATCTCCCTTCTCTCCGACAGCCGTAAGTAAGTTGAAGATACTATAGAGTCGGACTCGTCTGCTCAACTGCACTAAAGTACAGTCGACCGAGCCATCGTGGTAATGGTCATGTGTGGAGTCAAGCTGAAACCCCGCGCGCACACCGTGCTCCCTCGATATCCATGCGAGTCGACGTTCACACTTTGAAGTGAGAACATACCGCGTACCGGTAGGCGCTACAAGTACATGTACAAGGCAAGGCCAAGGACGACAGGTAACATTGCCAAGTGTTAGCGCGGTCCGCAGCTGGAACAAGTCACACCCCTCCTGCCCCCCCCCCCCCATCGATAACCACTGTCTTATCGGACGATCAGCCATCCATGGCGAACGAAAGTGCTGTTACTATTACTTACTTACCGGTACTACTACTCAATACATGACTGTACAATCATGCATGTACTGATGATGTAGGTGAAAAACTGACAGAGTATTGAGACATTCAAAGACCAGACACATGTAGCTCCAACAGATCTCCGAAGTGCTATCCAACAGCTTTCCAACTCGGAAGGTTCAAGGTTATATTAGCCCTTTAAATTAACTGCCCCTGTGCTGTCAACCAACAGCAATGCCAATGGATGGATACATCCCCCCCCCCCCCCCCATGACTGTGCAGTACATACTGAAGACACTCAAATGTTCGTAACTCGGCTTGCCTTGGAGCGAAATTGAGCAAAAGAAGGCATATTCGCATCGGAAAGTTCTCGGCTGTCGGCTCGAACAAGTCCGAAGTCGATCCGAGGTTACTACTGTACACGCCAAGTCTCACAGTGACAAAGAATGTCGACGTCAGCGTCACTGGACGGAGACGATATCAGTAAAACACGATCATGACAAAGCCGTCCAACAAAAAACTACCACTAGCGCTTGGCAGATTAGGTTTGGTAAATTGCTGAATTCTTCTTTCCATTCGTATGCCCAAATTATGCCAGTGATTATGCTACATTATGCTGGAATTATGCCAATGATGTATCTAAATAATCTAATATTGAATGAGTACGAGGTCAAGGGAATGGAAATAAAAGCCGAGTAAAAGACCGAGGCGAAGCCGAGGTCTTTTACGAGGTCTTTTATTTCCTATATTGACCAAGTACGAAGTCAATATTAGATTTATCACGACTAGCCAAAGCCTGTGTTCAATCGCTAAAAAGGAGTCAAATAGATGCGGTCAATGTAGCCCTAAGGAGTCAAATATGCAGGAATATTTGAGTGCTTAGGGATGGCAAAAACCTATGGGAGTCAATACTAAGGGAGTGATAAGGTGCTATTATTGTACCCTTGCACTCCTGTTGCACTTTGCAACGTTACAACGACTCTGGCACCATGAGTCCATGACAGCATGGCTTACTTGTATAAGGGGTAACATTCACCAGGTTATTTCCTGTAACATGCCTACATGTACATGTAAACAAGAGTACATGAAAACCGGTTTTCATGTACTCTTGATGTAAATATACCCGGAGCATTAAATCCACGGCCAGCATTGTAAGGTTATGCCGACGTCTGGTCTCAGAATTCCTTCTATGTCAGAGCATAATATTTATACAAAATCCGAAGATTATGCCAGAAATTATGCCATCAAAATCCGCAAGGGCTAGTTGACTACAAAACTAGTAGTTGCACACGGCGTACATTTCGCCGTATGGTTCATGACGGCTCATCAGGTGTGCCATTTGAACTTGGATATTCAGTAGGCCTTGGCGGATAATGCCGGCAGAAAAATTGGCAGAATTCGGTACTTTTTCTGGTAAGTTTCAGGCATGTTTGGTATGTGGATAAAGAAATGGAGCAGAATTCGAGGAATTGCCCGCCATAAGGTTTGTATGGTTCTGCCAATTTCGGTGCAAAAAAAGCAGAATCTGCCACCTTTTCGAGCATTATCCGCCAAGGTCTAATATTCAGCCAATGGATGATTATTGTAAAAAGGAAAGGGACACCTGGATACAGCCTTAGCAGACTACCTGTCCATCGCTGTAACTACATATAGATACGTGTAGTCAGAAAGTGCAACAAATCATTGAAGTCTATTTTCTTCGGCCAGAACTGTAGACTGGTCGGGCTAGCAGCTTCACTGATGTAATCATGTGCATGGATCTGTTATGTCAGGCTACTGTTGACTTTCCAGATTTCAGAAGACGTTAAAATCCCAACCACACTTATTGTGTATGCTCCAGCTTGCTGACAGCCCAAGTACCTTTGGGCAAATAGAATTGCTGCACTTTTCTCCACGACCTGACAGTAGGTTCTGTTTGCCTCCAGTATCACCAGATGCTTCAGAGAATGCCATCCATGTATTGGGCTTGTCCAAATTCTCCAAAGCCTTGCTGAGTTGTCTGCAATGCTGCCACATCCCCAGGCTGGCCTGGGCTAGCAGGATAGGACTGGATTACATGACTGACAGTGCAATACAGGAGTTGTACTGCCACTGGACAGGCAACCGAATCTGGTAAGACTGGCTCCGGAGTGACCACTGGTAACTGCCTGGAGGCTCAGACTCAGTCAAAGTCAGGGCTACTCATCTTTCCACTCCCTCCACACTCCCCCATACCACCCACCCCAGCCCGACGCACGTAGATCTACGAGTTTGACTGCACAGTGCACTGCAGTACAGCCTGCCAACTGTACAAGCAACTGGGCTAGAAGGAGGTGTGGACTTCAAAACGTCGTGCTGGCATGTAGCTATTGGCAGCTGCGTCGCTAATATTCTACATTTGGCAATGCGTGCTGTCACAAATGACTCACATCACTCGTCCGTCTATCTTCGCAAAAGAAGAGAATAGTTTGTGGCAAAATATTATAATTGCTGTTCGCTATAATTCGATCTCTTTCCACAAGGCAATGGTGGGTTTACGAAGTACCGGTAGCTTACTCAAGCTAAGGGTTCATTCTCCGGGGCAAAATGAGTGAATCAAAAGCTCAGTGTTACAGCATCTGCTGATTCCTTGCTTCATTCATAGGGGTCTATTGCTCAGGAAATCCTTGCTGGACAGGCTCTTCGATCGAACTGATTATTTTGTCTCATTCGGCATCTCCGTGTCCTTCCCGCTTGTGCCCGGGCAATGTCAAGCCGCCCGTGGCTGTGTGATTGGCCCTTCCTTTACGGAAGGAGGATGGCGGTAAATGCTTTAGGCTTCAGAGCGTCGATGATTCAGTTCACGGTGATCGTTCTATGGTTGCTGCTTTCGGCGAGCCATTCTGTCCATTCAGCCAGCGCTGCACCCAGTCCAACTGATGATTACGGCTCTGGCGATGGAAACGGTACGAATGTAACCCAAGCTACCGGCTTCACGACTTCGCCTGATGGGACCTCCTCAATGACCTCAGCGAGCGCGGCTACCCCATTATTTCCGAGCACCGCCATTCCTCCATCACCTAGCTCGGTGATTCATTCATCGCCTACCTCGGTAATTCCTTCATCACCGATCACAGCTATCCCTGCATCTCCGAGCTCGGCGATCCCTTCATCATCTATCACGACAATTCCCTCTTCACCCAGCTCGGCTATCCCTTCATCTCCGAGCACAGCCACCACCACGCATTCCACAACCATCGATCCTATCTTCTCCAGCACAGTTGCAGCGACGTCCGAAATACCGCCGAGCTCAAGGGCAACATCTCCACGGACGACAGTGGTGGTGATAATAGGGACGACCGAGGCGGGTACATTTAGCCGCCTCAACGTGGGAACGCTTATGGCGATCTGTGTCGGCTGCGGACTGTGCTTCGCGCTGTCATTGCTGGCTGTGCATATCCTACGGAAGAGCCGTCGCCACCACGAGAGCAATGCCGACGAGGCCAAGAGGCTGCGCCAGGCCAGGGAGAACAGTCGGCAGAAGAGCGTGCGTAGACAGAGTGAGTTCGACAAGGTGACTGACTGGGCTGGATCATCGCTGGCTACCAGCACCCTAGTGTTTGACGATGATTACGAGAGAGGCAGCTCTATCGAGCCTGCATCACCAACAGGGTCGATACCTGGGTCGATGCCTGGGTCGATGCCGAGTTCACAACGAAACAGTGTTTCCAGCGAATCCAGTGCAATGTCGAGCTCAAAACTTATCAAGCCTGATCGAGGTAAGAGCTGGGTTGGTGGTGCAGAGTTACAGAGATTTTAGAAGTAAGGAGAACGATGCAGGATACTGAGTATTCGGAGTGGAAGTGAAGTGCGAATGTATACTGTCTTGGGTAATCAATGGTTAGGTAAAACACGCAGGTCATACCACCCATTGCACCACACGTCACGTCATCCCCAGTTTCCCCACTGGGTCTCACAATCCATACAACATGCAGACAAAACGAACAGGATGGTGATTTTCAAACTTGAATGTCTTATAAGTCATACATTTTGTACATGCGTATACACACGCACCCATGCAATCTCTCCCCCCCCCCCCCCCCCCCCCACACACACACACATACACTTTGACTTGCACTTGCTCACCGGTCATTTGAGTCTCCCCGGAAGAGGAAAGAGAGATTCAAAAGGATTCTAGCGGGAAAGGTGACTCTATTGGCTACTGCCCAACAGTCCACCCCCCCCCCCCCCCCTGAAATCCCCAAACCCTGGGCGGACGTCAGTGGACATGATCCCACTCGTGGGCAGCCGGCTCACCACTAGGCCTTTGCGGATAATGCCGGCAGAAAAATTGGCAGAATTCGGTGCTTTTTCTGGTAAGTTTCATGCATGTTTGGTATGTGGATAAAGAAATGGAGCAGAATTCGAGGAATTGCCCACCATAAGGTTTGTATGGTTCTGCCAATTTCACTGCTTTTCGAGCAGAATCTGCCACCTTTTCGAGCATTATCCGCCAGTGCCTACTCACCACACCAGAGTACGTGGGTTGTTGTTGATGTTGTAGTGGGTGAGGACCGTGAAAAACTGCTGAAAATGGATTGACGACAATAAGGCACCAGTATCCATCCTGGAATTCAACTCAACTTACCCCCCCCCCCCCCCCCCCTCCTCACACATACATTAGTCTGGGCTCTCTCAGAAGTACAAATTGACTGCACGTACACCAATCCCCGAAGAGGAGAAAAACACAAGTACTAGCACTAGTACATGACATCCTCCTTCCTCCTGTGCCGGTATGACTTGCATGTACGTGTAATGAATCATTTCCTGTATTAACCAACAAAGCTGGACTGCATCATAATTATTAATAGAGAAACAAATTCAGTGTATTTCCCACAATCATACTTCCTCCGCGTCATCGAAATTGTCGCAGTTTGACTTTTGATGTAAAATGCGGTATTTACTCACCAGCACTCGTACCAGAGGCAAGGGATCGGACATAGGCGATAGTCATCAGTATAGGGTGACGGCAAAGTTCTATTTTCTGTTATTGGAAGCTGGAATTTTTGAACTAGACGCAATTTCTTCGCTGATGTCGCTGCGCTGGTAATTTCGACTCGCTGAGATCAGTCAGGTGTTGCAGCCTGCACATTTCTCGTGCTTATGGCCATTCACTCAAGCCCCATCACTGCTTTACCTTAGCTGGGGTGAGAATGACTTCGTGGAACAAGTGGCAGCGCTTGGAGAAACATCGAGGGGTCGGCAAACTAAATGCCTGCAACAGCGATAAAATTTGTCGCTCTGGCTGAGACACTCAGTACTACTACTAGTACATGATTGTACCTGCAAGAGCCGTGTAGACTCTACACGTAGTGCTAGTGATGCACGCGCAGGTGCCGTGCCATGGTATACCAGTGCTGAAAAAGAGGGCGCGCTGGACGTGATACTACACTTACCTGCATGAGCTGTGGGCATGCCACGGCTAAAAAAAAGTTCATTATTTTCAAGATCGAGGTGATTCCGAGGTGATTCCGCCGACGGTAATCAACCGACCTCGCAACTATCGTGTATTCTTACTAGGCTTCGTTGGTGGTGAAGTAGAAATCATCCAGAGCTAGCAGACGACAAGCATAGCAGCTCTTGTCCTGTGGAGAAAGTCAAAGCGTTTGAGATGAGGCGCGACCAACTTTCAACCTTCCTTGAAATATTTGGGAACGATATTTTTGCGTCCATTGACATCAGCGACGACGAGGACTTCATCTCTGCATGAAAAATCTCAGTCCAATTGTCCTAGAACGTTACTCTAGTCTTCAGACTATCATACTGTGTAATAAGTTTCGAATGGCTTAGTTTATGGAGTTGTCAGTAACAAGTGACAAGTCACTAGTCAAACTGCGACAATTTCGATGACGCGGAGGAAGTAGCATGCACCGTGTAGGATCGTGTCATTTGTTGTCTGTCCTCATGTATGCATTCTATTTACCTATATACATTACTTCCTGCAGACAACAAGAAAAGCTGGACTGATGAGCCGGACATCGAGGAGACGAATTTCTCTATAGGCAACGAGATGGACGACGACAGAGGCACGGTGAACAGAGTGAAGAACTTTGTAGTCATCGACGGCGGACACGACTCACACCAGCGAAGTGGCAAGCACTCGAAAGCGAAAGACCGGGCACGGCAAATCCTGGCAGAGCGTCGCTCTACGTACACGCTGCAATCGCAGGCCAACGAAGCGGCGCATAATGTGATAGCGGAAGAGCAGGAACAGCCGCAGGGGGACGACCTTGACGGTCACGTATTCGTGGATGCTAACAGGGCAGCCGTGGAAGTGTAACAACAGCTGGAGAACATCTCCTGTGAGTTAAACTTGCTATTTCACTGTGCATGGGCCATACTTTCTTTGGGCGCCGACCTGTGGCCAGCAACACATGGTGCCAGTGCCGCGTCAAAAAAAAACCCAGACAGGATATGAAACTTACTAATATGTACAAATTGCACGTGAGATTGGTATAGAGATTTCGGACCTGGACTATTTCGATTTACTTCTGTATGCCCGCCCCTAGTCACAATGTCTATCCTGGCATATGCAATGCCGATCCTCTACTAGGTGGTCTGTTTTACTTCATCCTTTAGAACAACTCAGCCCTTGCCCTTGATTCTGCAGACTGAACTCGGCGATTTACTCAACTTACATTATACTTGAGAATCTAGATTCTATTGTTTTGATCCTCAGAGAAAGTCATTATTTACAACTATACCATAGCATGACCACTAACTATTTTCGATACTTGATGATTACAGTTTGGCAAGGTACCGTGACAAGGTATCTAACATGACATGTACATGTATGTGCTGGCTAAGGGCCTGGACAGCATCTAAGTGAGTGACTCAAATATGCTGTAAACCAAGGGTGTTCAGTTGGCATGGTACGGTCTGCCATTTGAAGAACAATAAAATTAATTTACTTGTGGAGAGGTGGGTGACTCGGCTGAAAATTCCCAGAACTTGAACGCGGAATCAGTGCCGTTAGTTTCATTGGTTCACAGGATACCTGGTTCAAAGAGTGCATGGCAAGGCCAAAACTGTAGTGACTATAGTGTGTCCAACTCCTAACAGACTTCTATGCACCCCTAATATAGCATACGTCAATGAAGTACATGTACGCCGTGACAAGCCGACATGCATGACACACAGACATTTCGACGCACACACCAACGCACTGACACCGTGGCAAGCGAGCACACGAACGTACAGCATCACCACAGACACGTGGACTCACGCAGCAAAGTGTGCGAGCATACGCACAGGATCACTACAGACACATGCACTCACGCACCGATGCGCGTGAACACACGCCCAGCATCACTACAGACGGACCGTGATATCAGTAAAATACTGCTGCAACTATTGCTGCCAGTTCTGACACTATTTGACATTTTGAGAGATTTTTACGGATACAAACAACAAGATAAATACTGTAGCTGCGTAGATGGAGAAGAAGAGTGACATTACAAATTCAAACGGGAACGAAACAAGGGAGACAAAAGTAGACAAGAGTTGGGGACAGAAGAAAATAATATGATAAATGCATTCTACGGCAGTCTACAAAATAATTTCAAATAATTCTTTAGGGGCATTTCACGAGTGACCCACGGATGTTTTGTGCAGGTCAACTTCAGATATTGCCACATCAACAATCAAATTCAATATAGATAATTGCGTGTACTGCTAAGCCAATGTAAGATGAAGCCGGCCAAACATGTCGAGCACAAACGATGATAACTGTATTTTGAACAGTACTGGTGCAATGGTGACCATGGTAAATACTGCTGTATGGAGATGTAAGCTGCAAAGCAGCATGTCAACAGTCTGTGAGAACTTATACTGCAGTGAATCTGTCTACTCACTCCTAATATTATGTCCGCTCGTCTTCGCCCAACGCTGGAGCCATTCTAACAAATGTCACTCATCATCAAAGCAGACATGTGCGTACACCTGCCATGACTGCATAGCGAGGACATAGTGACGGAAGACCGGCCTCAATGTGTCAATGTCTCAATGTGTCAATGTGCCTGCCTTTGCCAGTGTTGGAAGCACTCGGAGCAGGTCATCGTTCGAACGGAACGCGGATTGCCACACGACGTGCAGTATTGCGAGGACGTCGCGTTGCCGCGAGACTGCGCACCCAGCACGGGCTTGGCACCAACCGCAGGTGCCTGTGCTGCTGCTGCTCTTGCTGTCGTGTGATAGTGTCCAAGGCCCCTGGGCCCGTCTTTCGGCAGTTCTGGTGACGTCTCCAGTGGCAGTAAGATATTCGTGTCTCGTTTCGGCACAGGAGGCCGTCGTCGTGTTGTTGCAGGTACGTTCTGGTAAACCGCATTCTCGGCGCGGTCCGATGGGTTCTGCAACGATGAATTGGGCAGGTGAGGGGCGCTGCCTGAGTCGACTTGATCTGTGCCGTGGCGGACGCGGTTCTGCAGGATCATATTGCGTGTGAAGTCAGCAGTCAGCGGTACGGCACCCAGGTGCGGCCGATTATGCTGATTGGCTGGCGGTGGATGACGACTCGTCGAGCTCACCTCCAGCTTGCCGGCACGTGACGTTGTTGTCGTCGTCCCCATGGCTACCGAATGAGACGCAGTCACAACTTTCATTGGACCTGCCGCCGTAGTGGTCGGCAAGGACCCGGCTCGCGGACGATGTGGACGCCTCACGGCAGCCTGCTGCTCTATATCCGTAGTAGACATACCACGGCTTGTGGAATGGCCTTGGATTGCGGCCATGGGAACATAACCGGAATGGGCAGGTATCGCGTCGTCTGGTCTAGTACTGATGGAACTATTGGTATCATGTGACAATCCGTTGGTTGCTAAGCGACCTGTAATGTTTCTCGCCGTAGTGTGCACGTCAGGTGCATGCCTCTGCTGATGCCGGTCATCCTGCAACCTCTTATGGCCTACGTTCACCTTTGTGTCGAGATCCAGTGCAAGGTCATTATTGCCGAACACAGAGCGGCCATTGCTCTCCGCATCGCCATTGCCCGTATTCCTCTGCCGTGGTCCTGTCGAGGTTGAGGCCATGGTCGATGCAGTGGTTGACGTGGGCGGTGCGGGTGGCAGACGTGGCGGTGCGTTGGTCTGTTCAAACTCCAGCCACGACGGCGTCTGCTTGGACGGGAAGCCCGCAGCGGTCGTGGTGGTGGCGGTGCCTTTCGCTCTCGGAGCGGCGACCACCCGGTCGTTGTTGTTGCTGCCATTTATCGCGGGAGGCATGTTAACCCTCAGCTCCGCTGACGGTGATGCTGCATTTAACGCCGTCGTCGAGGAGTGACCATTTGGCAAGGCAACACGTTGATTGGCGCCTTGCTGCACTTTGCCATTGCTGCCGTTAGTGGTGGCGGTGTGATCTGATTGCGGCGACTTCGACAATGCCCATGCAGCAGGTCTTGGAGGTGCTACTTTCGTCGTCGATCCTGCAGCACCCGCCACACCCGTACCTGTACCTGCCTGCTGTGCAGAGCCTGTTGACTGTTCGGATGACGACAGCTTCGGCGAGTGTACCGGTGCCATCGCCTGTACTGTAACGCGCGGGTGAGGAGCCTTGGCATAGTTCTTATACTCTTCCAGAGCAGTACTCAACATCCTGGTAGCTAAATCACTGACCTCGTCGTACTGCACACACATACACACACACACACACAGAGACGCGTGGACGCACACACAGACACACACACACACACACACACACACACACACACACACACACACACACATGCGGACACACACACACACACACACACACATACACACACACACAGAGACGCGTGGACGCACACACACACACACACACACACACACACACACACACACACACACACGCGGACACATGCGGACACATACAGACACACACACACACACACACAGCACATACAGACACAGAGGAGAAGAAATACGGGGTGGTTAAATTATCAACATATATGGAGGGAAAACGGAGAGTAGCTGCACTTGCGAAAATATTCCCAGGCTGCTTGTCTGTCTATCTTTCCCTCACCCTCTCTCTCTCTCTCTCACACACACACACACACACACACACACACACACACGCATGCACACGAGCACACACAAGCACACATGCACATACACACACATACACACACACCAACCACACACACACACACGCACACACACACACACACACACACACACACACACACACACACAAATACACACACAAACACAAACACACTCACCCCCCCCCCATATACCCTCACACACAACCTCACACACAACCTCACACACACACACACACACACACACAGACACACACACCACACACACACCACACACACACCACACACACACACACACACCACACACACACCACACACACACACACACACACACACACACACACACACACACACACACACACACACACACACACACACACACACACACACACACACACACACACACACACACACACACACACACACACACCATGAAACATACATGCTTACTTCCAGCACACACCACCTACCTTAGCTGTAGACAACTCGCTCACTCTTGCACTGAGATAGTCACGGACAAACTGGGAATATCCAGGTGGCTTGTCACTGGGCCCAAGCTGCGCAGCTAGTATGAGACGATTACCTGACGAATCACTGGACGGGAAGTAACGTACTGGCTGCCCGTCTGGAGTATCGGTGTTTACAGCACTGCACGCATAGCCAAGAAGAAGTGCATAGGACGGAACAAGTATTATAAACAGGGCCAGAAAGCACGCTGCATGTGATAGATAAACTGCAATCTCACAAGATGGAGCCTGATACTGTCTCCATATCCAGGGTTGTTTGACTGGAAATGGCACCCCTTGGTCTTGTTTGCAGTGGTCTTCTGGGACAGGTGGTCGGTCGCCTTAAGCGAGTGGTCTCCATGGCAGGTTTACTGTACAATGGACAGTGCGTGCATGCGGTCAGGTTCAACAGGGCAAAGCTGCTACCCATCAGCAGACATACGCTCATGATGCACAGGCAGACGTCGCATAACCATCCGTTTTCCACAAAAATATCCGGATAGGCGAGGGAACCGGATAATCGAACACACATACTGTATGTATGCACTAGATTTGCTGTAAATCGGTAACCAACGATTTTCTTCCGGTTGGCGAGGGATCCGGATAAAAGAGGACCGGATAAACGAGGTCTGACTGTACTGTAAACCGCCGAATACTTGTGTCGATGCATTTTCGCATTTTCTCAGAGCCAGAGAATTTACTTAGCATGGCAAATGCTTGTGGAGCACTGTTGTCACACACACACATGCACATGCACAAACTGCTGAAGTTTGATTTTTGCAAAGTTCAAAAGTTTGTGATTCGGAGCCTCTCTACAAAAAGTCGCAAACATGTTTTTTTGTGTCACAAAAATAACGCGCATAACAGTACAGTAAGATCTGTGACTAACGACCACCCCTGGG